CTAAAACTAGGTTAGGTAGGTAGGTACACCTAATCAAGAAGAATCTCTGCTCTTAATTTATAATATAGAAAGTAAAACTTCTCGACTCGACGAATCCAAGAGCCTAGTCATAAATATAAATAAACTCTTTACTTGCAATATAATTAAACTACCAAATATAAAGCTTTCTTAAGAATGTCTAAAAAAGAAAGAAATTCTTCGTTAATGTTAGCGAGCAAACTTGATGTTTTATGAAGAAGTGTCACGAAATGTAATATTTTTATCGTATTAATTTCTCCTGAAGAAAAGTTCATAATTGTTCGTTAGGTGGTCGTAGCTGGAGTAAGCGAGGAAGCTTTGAGAGCACGTTTGCCGCAGTTGGCATGGGGTTTGGCGAGACAGGGTGGACCCAGCGCCGCACAATTGGCCAGGGTCGCGATGCTCAGGCTCAGACCTGCTCTTCTCCTAGAGCAGCTTCTGCAGCCGCAGTGTTTGAACGCGAGAAACGCAAAGGTGAGATTTGATCTTTTCGATGAAATTTTTGGGATTCCTGTCAATTCTAATATTCCAATCTTTCTTTCTCTTGTAACACGTTCCATGTTAAATGTAGATATAGTCGGTGGAAGCGGTATAGCGAGCTCGTGAATTAAACCATTAAGCGGCGACATCGATTGATGCATTTTCGTTAAAGGTATTAAGCCTCGGTCGCCTCTTGATCAATGGTAATTGCTCTACCGGTCGGCGTTAATTTGCATCTGTTAAGGATCGAGACGTAGAGAAATTTTTTAAATATACTACAATGAATGAAACAATTCTCTCGCGTGTACTTTCACGCCTGACTGATTTTGCGACCTTACAATATCGGTTCTCCACTAACTACACGTAGCCATTGACCCCCGACCGATTTATTTAACACGACCTCGCTGTATATTGGTCTCACTGACTACATTTTGACACTGACTGATTTAATAAACCTCGCTATATCGATTCCCACCGACTATACTTAACAACGCCTGACAAGTTTTACGACCTCCTTATATCAGAGTTCCACCAATTGTATTTTATACAACTTCAATATTTCTTTTTTCTCCCTCCTTTTTTTTTTTGTCAAGTTTACAATGTTTTGTGAATTATTTTTAAAGTTTTGAAAATTATATGTAGGAACCAACGACGGAAAAATATTGAGGGGGACTCCCCCTCCAACGGGAATAGAACCCGGGACCTCCGGCTTAGCAAGCCGAGGCGGCTTTGCGCGCTACGCCAACCACTCCCTCTCTATTCTCCCGTGTCGGTTTCCTATTTTTTGGGTATGGAGGCCCCGATACTACATACATATATGAAAATATCTGACATTACAGACCAGAGAGAACACGTTACAATTGTTGATTTTCTCGCTGGTCACGTTTCCGAGCACCGAGTTCAAAGTAGATACGGTCGCTAATAAGGTGGCCAAGATGGTGAGGGATCGACGACGCAGAGTAAGACAGGCTGCACTCGACACTTTGGCTGTATTAGCTCAAATCTACGAACCTGAGGTGATATACTATTTTCATTGTCACGACAGATATATTGTACAAATAATAAAAAGGAAATAATTTCATAATTTTCAATGAAACATTTCAATCTTATTTTATATCTTAATTGAAAACATTCCAAATCTAATATTAAATTTGTAACTTAAATCCCTTTTCATCGAAACGCTGCAGTGTAACTTTGTAGTAATTGATTGTAACTGTTAGGAAGTATTAGTGGCGGGAAAACGAGCGTCGGAAGGTCATCATGACGGAGAGGCAATGATGTCTGCCATTAGAGCACGCCTGGCACGAAAATCGCTGCCATTGGTCTCTGCTGATGGTCTTGTGATGTACGGTCTACAAATTTCACCCACCGTGCAAATAGCCACAGGTAAATCACAATTTCCTAACATAACTCTCGAATATTTCTTTTTTATAACAAGTTAATAATAGACTTGACGCAAAGCAGAACTCATTGATAAATAGTATATTCAAATTTCAGAATTTTTTTTCTTACAGTTCGTTACATTAACAGAATTACAATTCGACTCTCGTCAGTTGTATCAACAAATGACTATTCTTTTTTATACTTCTGTAAGCTGTTCGTATCGCTGAGTACATTTTCAGCATGATCAAACTAACTATACATAATTTCTTATTCGGCATTGTTGCAAAATCTTCTCTTTTATTCCTTCGATGTTTTTTTATCGTGCAGAATATTCTATGTTCTGTTTTTCACCCAAAATATTAACTGGAACTATAAGGAGAAATAAAAAGTTCATTAAGCAATATACTACATTTAATATTACTCTTAGATTAACATTGAAAATATTCAATTAAATTTATAAGAAAAAATTTAAATTTGAAAATTAATTATTAATTAAAGCAATGAAAAATTAAACAGAAAAATTAATTCAATTTAAAAAATTAAATAACATTTTCGCAGGTCCTGACGTCGATTGGATCGTGGCAGGAAGTGGTTCAGTGTCACCCGGTATTGGACGCACCAAAGGACAGATTATAACGACGAGATCGGAAAAAGAAAGACTGGCAAGGTAATGGTATCCTGTTATTGCATGAATCACCAGCTAACAACGTCTGACTTTCCATTTATCATTTCACTGAAATTCTTCTTTTCACGTTAACCAAATAACAGCAACACTATTAGAAGATTAAAATTCTTTATAAAATGTATAACCTACGATAATGTGATATTAAAAAAAAAATAATTTTGAAAATTAGTAGTTAAAATGTTCGGATATAACCTATGTATGTACTTACATATTAACATACTTTTATCTACACTATGAATTTTTTCAATATTTTAATAACAATTTTTTAACTGGATTTATATAAAGATTTACTCTTTGTTTTTTCTTAGAAATGAAAATGCAAAGTATCGTGAAAATCCATGGAGCGAAAGGCCCAATTTTGTCGCACTTGGAGTTGGCATGCGTTCAAAGACGGAACAACCTGTAGTATGGCAAATAGTTCCAACACAAAACCAGGTGAAAACTGGCTATAATACAAATTTCAATAAATCATTTCACGAACAATTTTCTTCCATCGTACTTGTAATATTTCTTAATTTTTCTTTTCCACGAATTATTCAGTTTATTTTACGAGAAGAAACGGAAAAATTCGTGTTTCGGTGTTCCATTGAACTGTTAAACATTTTTACGCCATATCGAAACAAAATTAGGCCAATGCAAATTAAACCAACTAACAAGTAGCATAATTCACGACTTAAACGTATAAATGTATAATTGTATCGAGTGTAACCTATGATTTATTAAGAAATTCAATGAGCTCATTAATAAAACATAGATCACGTAAAAAGTTTAAACTGACGTCGGCGGTTGGTCGCGGTGCCGTGAAGTTAGCTCCACTTGTAAAATATAATCGCATTAAATCGGAGCAGCGTTAGGTTGCAAATCATGATTTTTTACTTCGGAACTGCTGCCACCTGTACAACAACTTTTAAATTACAGTGTTTATGAACTCGTATTTTGTCAGTTTTTATGCTTTACAATCATAACAATCCTGCTATAACTGGTTTATCAATATATGAAACAAAGAATGCTTCGTTTATGAAAATTCTGATTGCCAATATTTTTAGAACTTTTTTTCAAACTACGCCAATATGATTTAATTAATTAAATAACTTATCAACAGGTTAAAAAAATTAGAAAATATGTAAATTATAATTTTAATTGCTTACAAAATCGATCGTTCGTTTTGTGTTATTTGTCGATCAATTCAGGTCAGTACATTATCGTATGAAACGTTGGTTTTGTTTTTTCTTAGTTTCGTTAAGTGAACGATATGAGAAAATTCTTTTGCGGTGTCCAGTTATTTTAGTTTCCCGTCGATGATTGACAATTTGAACGATAACAGAGTGAAATTATGTTCCGTTGGAATGTTACGCATTTGTTGAGGATTTTTAAGGTTAACGTGTAATGTTGTTAGTTAATAATAATATAATACTCTGTAATTTATCATTGTTATCATTAAATGTCGTATATTTTGTTTTCAGGATATGCAATGTGACGATGAAGTGAATGTTCAAACCACACGAAACGTGAATACAGGTGTTCATAATGGTAACTATATTTTTTCAAAAAATAATTTTTCGTAGAGATTATTTTTATGATAGAGAATGCTGGATAATTGATATATTTTCAGTTGAAAGCATCAATTCGGACTTGAAATCGAGAGGTCAAACGAAAATTCCGCCATCTAGCAAAGAATCGACGAATTATCATGGTGCAATTGAAAATAATTTTGAAAGAAGGGTAAATTTCGTTAATAAATGCAAATAATTTCAATTTTACATTTTTATATCGATAATATTATCAACAATTTTCATAATTAGTAATCGTTGATAATTTTTATTTATATGTTTCAGGAAAATAACAATAAAACAGAATCCAGAATTCCCGTGCTCTATAACCGGGACAACGGCACAAAATCCACTGGACTGAATCTGCAAATGGATAAATCTAGTAATTCAGAATTAATAAATATTAATTTGAAAAGGAGGTTGAGAGACACTCAAGATAACTCCAGTGACCATGGCAGTTCTCAAGAAGAAAACATTAGGTATTATTCTTTACTCGTTTACTATAATTTTGTTAATGTCTAAATGAGTAAAAAGTGTTAATAGCCATTATGATGAAATGTTTACAGGAGCTGTGGGACTGTGTACCATCAGAAACGGAGAAATCATCAAGAAAACAGTACCAGCATGCATTATGATAATTATCGCTCAATGAAGAATTCGAATCACACAAATATAGATAATAATGTAAGCTTTTTATTCGATGCAATTCATATAAGCAGCAGTGTACAACTTTGTTGTATTAAGAAATTATAGATAATTTATGTTAGTACAATTTGGAATTTTGTAATAATTTAAGTATTGTGTTACTGATGTTGCAGAATGTCGAAGAGAATATGAATCAGAAATATCTGGACGGTAATTCAAGAGTTTATCAAAAGTTTATGGAACGGGACAGATTTTCGAGGAAGCCTGAGAAGTCTAGGTATAGTCGTTCGAGTTCGATTGAGGGTCATCAATCAACGGTGTCCAAGAATGTTCATCAGCAGACTTTCGTTATGCATAATATGTAAGCAATTTGCAGACGAGAATTCTTTTCGACAGTTGCAAACAGCCCCTACAGTAACATACAATAAAATAGAGTACAATCAAAGGACTGGCGAAAGTAATGAGAAAAATATATCTCGTGTAAGTGTCATTATTTGAATTGACAATCATATATGTATATATTATGTAGTACTTTAATTTTAGTAAATATATTTTATACTACAGACGAGGTCTCATCGCAAAACGAAAGATGTAGCTGCTCAAAAGATTACCGACGTCGAGTTAATATCATCGGATGCTCAAACTGGCGATTATTTTCCCGCGATATGTACTGAAACTCCCTATAGAAGAAGGTTACGTTCCCTGTCTCCGACACAGTTGTATCATCGTCAACAGTTCGTTAGAACAGCTTCTAACGAGGTTCACGCGTTGTCTATGTACGATATGTAAGTAGTAATATATTACATATATAGTTTCATAAATTAATTAATTTTATTCATTACTTTTATCACAAATAGTTATGAGTAGCGGTAGCAAGTAGCAGGTAATCACAAATAGACGCAGGTAGCTATAATAGCGGTCAACCGCATGTACATACATATATAATCGCAAGTAACCGCAGATAATTGTGCATAATCCTAGGAAATTGCACGTATTCACAGTGGTTAACCACAAATAAGGCCAAATAATTTGGAGTTAACAATAGGTAGCAGAGTTTATATAGTGGTTATACATTGATTATTTAACGGTTAACCGCAGATAATGACGATTAGGTTAGATAATGTTAACAGGTAATAGTGATGGACCCTATGTACTAAGGATTAACTACAGGTAATAGCGATCAGGTTAGGTTAGCTTAGCATGTAACTGCAAGTAATTGTAGGTACTTACAGCTCCTTGCAGGTAGATGCAGGTAATTACAGATAACCTCAACTAATTAAATTACAGGTTGTTCTACATACATATTTAGCGACAGTTATACGAGAAACAATATGAAACATTTCACAAATGTTATTTTTCACATTTTACACTGAATATTCAAGGTATCAAACTTTACAATAAACTTCAATAAATCTACAAAAAGTATTGGGGTACAATTATTTCAACATTTTTAAGAAAACTGTTCTTCTGCATCGTATATCTTCTAAAATATTCAAGCACAGGTTAGACAACAGCACGGAAAAAAATGCAACCGTCATGACTACATACGTCGACATTTCTGCGTACATTTTTCTACAGAGCTCTACTTTGTGACGTCACAGTATCGCCGTACTATCGATAGTTCTTCATTTGCGTCGATTTTCTACTCGATTTATTGTACGATTATCCCTCGTAGAAAATTGCTGTGTTCATGCACATGCGCGCGACAAATCGTTTGGTGTCATAATACGGGCTTATCGTGCAACCTTTACAACTTCTTTACTGCGCTTCTGGGAAGGTGACAAATGCAGAGCTTCTGCAATTTTACTATCCAGCTTATTGTTAGTTATGTATAGAGTACTCAAGAGAGAAGAAACTTCTCGACGACATTTCTAAGAAAGCAAATAAAGCGACAAAGTAACTTTTTTAGAATACAGTTTATAGAGACATGTGGAACGACGGTATTGAAACGATTATATTCTATTTACCGGATCGATTTTGGGGCACCATGTTTAAATGGAGCGTGAGTCAGGACTTTATCCTTATATTATGCAGGTTTCATTCTCATGAATCTATCTACTAGTAGTTTATCTGGGTTAGTTCAATTTGTATTTAATTAAAAGGGAAAAATTATAAAATTTGAATGTTGTAATATTTAGAAATTTAAACTAATAAATTTTCAAAATGGAAACATTTATCGATTTAACCTATTTTATGACAATTTTCGTAACCTCGTCAAGTTCTTCTGGGCTACTTGAACTCGTTTTTCATTTAAAAAGAGAGTTAAGAGGTAATTAATGTAGAGTGATATAAAATTAAAAAAGTGCAACGAGAAACATGTTCTCGATCTCGCCTGATTTACGTACGTCGCGTGATGGCAACACTACGATTGTATTTCGTATTAAACAGCTACGCTACCGAATGCCATCTACATAACAATTTAAACTCGTTAAGATGGAATTCTCGCGAACATTTTGTTACAATTTAACCTAACTGATTAACGTACGAGGTTATGTATCGTAGATTTAATAAATTGTCGTGTCGTATTTGAATAATATAAAATTAAAAAATTCATATTTCGAATTATATATAGAAGAAATTATTGCTCGAAAATTAGTCGAATGGTATTACGGTCACTCTTGGACTAGGATTATATACTTAGATGTTAGATTATAGCAAAAATATGTAACTGAAATTTATCACGATAATAATGATGTTATTAAAATGCTGAATAAAAGATAAGTATGGAAAGATAAAAGAGTGGGTCAGTGAGTTAAAAGTATAATGTAAATAAAAGTTAATAACGATACCAACGTTACTATTTCACTAAAAAATGATAGTGAAATTGTTTTTCTGTTTTCTTAATATCACAATTATTAACACTTTTTCAATAGAATGTAACGACTGTTTCAAATTGATCTTGAACTTACATATATTTATATACTTACATCAACCTATATTTCACCAATTTTTTCAATTTTAAGATTTAAACATGATCAATAGAATTTCGTTTCCCTCGAGGTCCTTAAATATTTTATCGATTACGAATCAGCAATTCCAAAAACATCGACTAATCATTCACTATGTCTTACACATATCTCCCTCAAGTTCAATTAAATCTACAGGTGTAATCTACACGGTAGACCAAAATGAAGAAATACCAAAGAATAAAAGTAGGGAAATTAAGGAGATAATCTACGACACCTGCTTATTTTCACCTTTAACACTTCTATGCCCACGTATAGGTTTTTAGCGTAAGCAAGAGGGGAGTCGACCAGCGGTCAGTGTTAACCATTCGATATGCTATGCTTAGGTTAGGGGCGAAACGGGGGGTGAGGTGATGGAACAGGAAGGGGGTGATGAGTGAAGGGAAGGGATAACGGTCAACGTCGAGACAACCGACGCTACGTGAGCACAGTTGTGTGTGCGTCGTCATTTGTCGCGTTGTAGCAATTATAGGTTGCCCCCACTTTCGACTCCTTGCCGTTTCATAAAGAACGCGAGAATGTAACGGGTACATTTCTCGACCGCTCGAGAATCTTCAAGTTAAATCGTTTTAAAGTGGTTGAACGTGCTGAAGGATTAATTATGTAGGATGATTACGAATACGCTCGAGTGTTTTGCAATTTTCGCTTAACACCGTTTGAACATGGTAGACGCACGTAGTAGGGCTAGTTTTTTGAAGTTTGATGTTTGGTAAAATTATACGTCGACGATAAACAGTGGAATGTTTGGTAAATTTTGTGGATTTATTTAGAATTCTAGAAGTTTAATGGGGTTCCATTTCTCAAGATCACGATTTTATTTATCGGTATAGTTATCAAGAAGTGAGAGATTTGTATGTTCAAAGGAAAAATGAAAGTTAAGGTGAAGCACGGTAGAGGAAAGAGCAACATTGTAAAGAAATGCCAAAGCTTCCACAGTATGTACATGTTTTGAATGCTGTAAATTTTTGATAGGATCATCGATATATCGAAAACGAACTTATATCCTCTGTTATGAAGCAAACTTTTACACTTCGGAAGTTTTATCGGAAATACTTCAATCTCAGAGCAACTAAGAACTTTTTCAATAGCATACGCTTTATAGGATTTATTCTTCTCACAAAACAGCGTTCAATTTTTCTTTTTTATTAAAAAAACATTCAAAAGTAACGAAAAAACATAAAAAAATTTGTAAGTTTGTTATATGTTACATAATTTATTAACAATTCTAAAAATATTTGTTTTGATTATATTTATATAACCAGACATAGAACATTTCATAACAGGTTGTTAATCGATCATTCGTTAGCCTTATGAAAATAAGCGCGAAATGCAACAGAGAACTTCCAGACTACATATATCGAGCTGTAAATTTGAATTGTATATCGTACAGTCACTTTCTTCGTACATTGATTGCTTCTAAGCTTTTTCTTTCATGAGAAAATTATAAATTGTACAAACAAAATTCGCATTTCTTTTATTACCGACAAAAATGTCTAATATATCATCACAATTTTTTAAATATTATTCACAACTATTCAAAATCATAATCGAAGGAATGTTATTCATCAGTTGTAATATATGGTATATATTTAACATTGCATGACTCATTTATAATACTATTTCTGTGACAGATCAATAATAGTTTGCAAAGATCTCTCAAGTCTTTAATAAATTGCATCAGTGAGGATTCCTTGAAAAAATAAAACTTACCAACGATTCGATATATTTTTTAGTAATCATTAAATGAATAAAAAAAAATTGCTTAAAATATTCCCTTGTTATCACGAAACGCTTGAAATTTAACAAGAACATAATACAGAGTCACAAATACCAAACGTTCCCCTAAATAACTGTTTCACAACGAAATTATGTTCCATTAATCGGATTCAAGTGAAAATAAAACAAGTGAATCGTGAAAAGTGAAGAATGAGACGTGTCAACAGTGGAGAAATAACGTTCATTAACCGTGTGAACGTTGCCACTAACTCGGCAAGGACTTTCGATCGCGATCGATAAACCAAAACTATAGAACGAAATGATCTTCAAGTATTGCACTTGGCCGGAAGAGGGCAAAGAGGCGGACAAGGCCACGGTCTTGAAAAACGGCGAGCCAAATTCGATCGAGAAAGATGAAAATTTCAACGAGGAATCGGGTAATTCGCGACGAAAGAAGTATAAGATCGCGAACATGGTTCTTCGATATTGTCCGTGTGCCTTTCGGTGCCGACAACCTGTGGACGTCGGGAGGGAAGAGGAGGATTCTATTTCGACAATTATCACTACTGTTCATACCACTCCTGTGATTCCTTTGAGATTAAATCGAAGCAACGATACTATGTATGTTTTATGATATAAAAATTGTCTAAATAAATGGAAATTATCAAAATTTCTTAACCTCTAGAGTAGCTTAATGTTGTATGAATATTAGGTTCTGGAAGATAATATAAATTTTGAAGTTTCTAACATAATTTGAATATAATTGTAATTTTGTCGGAAGTTGCATAGTCGCAAAAGAGTGAGTAGTTGTATTTATTATAATTTAATTCTGCATAACCATACTATTAATACAGATATAAAATATAAATATTGTCCTTACACGTGACTTACAGTAAGGCATCTTGAGAATGATTATCCGCATGGACGATCGTTAGATACTTCGCCATCTATGAGAAACTCGATGACGTACTACTAATATTTCTTTATCGATTGCGTATTGACCCTTTTACCATGTACAATCTAACGAATTGTAGAGCTTGAAACAATTTCGTAATAAGAATTCTAAATTCCGTGATTTCAAATATTCATGAATATAGTAATCAAAGTTAAAAGCTATAATTAAAAATGTAAAGTCTAGAGTGGAATTGAATAGAATTGCATAATTCTATCACAAACAATACGGGTAAACCTGTTACAGTTTATGTCCTCGACATTCATCAAAATTATATTTTATGCACGAAAGATAGTCGTGCTATATTGTGTGTTCAAAAGAGTACATAGTGTAAATTGCAAGTACACTATACGTTAAACTAAACACATTTTTCGTTTTTGAAAAACTAATAATCGAATATTTGTTAATTATTTTTTGTTGCTGAATTTCTTGTTCCAGAGACAAAGCGGTGAACGAAGAGGAATATAACGAGAAAAATAAGCACCATTTTCTACCGGATGATCATTTCGGGGTGAAAACGTTAGATGCAGATGAAGCACAGTACGAAGGTATTCAAAAAATTATTTTTTACAAAAAAAAAACATTATTTTGCAATTTCTTGAAGAAAAAGTAGAATGAAAAAAATGCGAAATACCCTTTCAAAAATAACGTTCAGGTGACTATTAAAAGGTGCATATACAGTCGGTATTTTTGAAAAAAATTAACTTAGTGCTCTCCTGATTCATCACAGTCAAACGAATAGATTACATTGCAAAGAATGATTTAGAAAAAACGTGCAAACGTTCGAGGGAACTTTTAATCGTTAAGAGCGATACGAAGTAACCTGTGGGACCTGCTGGAACGGTCGAAAGTCCACGAACTAGAACGCGAGGTTCTTAACCTCGGATGAACGTGTAAAGCTTAGGACGGGGGCGCAATCAATATTTGCCTCGTAATATTTAAACCACGCTTTAAAGGTTAAGTTTCTTGCATAAAAAGAGGAGAGAAAAAAGAAGAAGGAAGAAAAATTCGTTCCTAACCTCAAAGGTTGGATTTTAAAATATCTTAATTTAAAATAATTAAAAATCTCATTACAAGTGTAGAACAATATTTCTTTTTAATTCAATTAATACATGGTAAACAAAACAAATTTTAATCGAAGAAAAAAATACTAAAATTGGTCTGTAATTTCAAGATCTGAGATTTTTAAAATTTCTTAATTAAAAGCTCACTTAAAATGTTATTCCGGGTATGCAATGACACAGATGTTGTTCTTTTTTTCCCTTTTTTTCTATATATTGATGCGTATCAAGATATGCACGCGACAAGGATAAATATATAGAATGGTTTTAAAGATAATTTCATAATTTAGATCGAGATCTGTTTACGATACGCCGTCATTGTGTCTGGAAACGTCAAGACTGTTCCTCGCATGTATAATAAATCTCGTTCTTTTTTTTTAACTCTATCGTGTCGAGTAATTTTTTTCTATTCTGTCCGCCTATACACATATGTATATCGAGTTTTGTGGATAAGGGCCTTTACCGACCGAGCATAGAAGTTTGTAGATTCATGGTATTTGATAATTTATAACAACTGAGTAGAAAAATTTAGTGAATACAAATACAGCTCCTTTTCAGATGGATAATGGAGGTTAATTATTATTGAGGAATAGGTGAAATTATTTTGGCATTTTATTGGTTTAATTTGTTATGTATAATATTCTTAAAACTAATAAAACATCAATTGAAAGATATTTAAAAATCATTCAATATAACCTTTTTAATGTTCAATATAAAACACTGAACATTTTTGAGGTTAAAATTTACTTTTATATAGAATACAGACTAAAAAGACCATTTCCCCAACTCTTCATGCGTTATTTATTTAAAAACAACGATTTTAAACACAAAATATTCTGAATTGATAATATACTGAAGCCAGCAGGGATCGATCTGCGACGTGTCCACATGACAAATAGGATCGCCATGAGTTATTTAATAATGTAGATAACAGTCGCGTGAAATATACAAAATTACCTTATTTCAAGGTTGGATCGTGCAACAATAAAATTAAGTTGAAAAAATTCTGAAATCTTTGAAAATTTTTTTACAAGTTTACATAATTTTTATATTTTTCCTAATACAATTTTTCAATACTTTTAAATCATTGTTAATCGTTATATCTAATTTTATAAAAAACGTTATTTATTTTAGTACTCGTGATGATTATTTTTTTGCCACAATAATTCGAACTATTATCCTAGCAGAGGATCACGAATTTTCGTCGTCAGACCTGTTAGAAAATAATTGCCAACCCGACGTTGAACAGGACGTGCAAGACACACAAGATGACAGCGATTCCGGATCGTCTAGTCCCGAGGAACGGAACACCGATACAGCATTCGATATTATCACTAATCAATCGAGTCCACCTGGTCGAGACACGGTCAATTTTATCGTGAGTATTCGCTCTACTAATATTTCGTAAAAAAAATTTTGTTTTTTATTAAACGTTTGAAAAATTATTTAACCAGCATGTTTAATCAAATTGTCAGGATGTAAATTAAATTTTTTACGTATATCGAACATACATAAAATTAAAAAAATCTCGAAAAGTGACCGCAAAAATCGTGTTTCAGATTTCACTGGACCAGAAAGTTCAAATAGGAACAGAAGCAACAATTACGTCGATCGAAGATGATGGATCGAAGGACTGGAGCAGCGAGGATGAACCGAAATCGAGAATTCATAGTCGTGCGGTATCAAGAGCATCGGAACCCGTGGCATTCGCCGACGAAAATCAAAATGAGAGTGAATTTAGCACTTCTGACGAAACTGGAAGAACAGAGGAAGAATCGATCGTGCAAGAAAGCACCGTCATGTCTGTTTTGACGCCAGAACGAACGTTGACGAACGAGAGTTTGCAAATATCGAGCGATATCCTACATTCAGACTTCCAAGATGCGGAGGCATCACCATCGAGGAGATCCGCCAGTCCTAAAAAGTCGAGTCGATCGCCAAGCAAGAATTCTGTCGACTTCGAGGCATCAAAGTCTCCCAGACGCAATTCTCGAAGCAGTCCACGCAAATTGGTTAGTTGACAGGAATGAAAATTGAAATTATCAGTGTACTATATAGAATAATAAGCTAATTAGTTAAATGAAGGTACAATGTTGACAAAACTTAAAATTAGAATAAAATTAAAATGAAATTTATATATTCTTTTTGCATAGAGTTTTGATTTGGAGGACAAGGAATCTGCAGATTCTAGTGAGGAGAGAGCTGTTTCTTCCATGATGCAATCTGATGACAATGACTCTATTCATTCAGAACAGAGAGAGACTCACAGAGAGTCCAAAACAGAAGAATCACCAGCTATTATTATTGCCTCCAGACCTCATTCTTCCACTGAGGTTTCCAATTTTGTTGAAAATCATGTAGAGACTACTATCCAAGTAGCAGAAAACGATAATGCTGTTAGAGTGAGTTATTATAATAGAAATATATTTACTATACACAATCATTTTTTAATTATAATATTTTGGTTCAGTTTGTTAGTGAACCCAATGAGAAGAACAATTTGGAGGATGAACAGAGTAGAGACAGCTCTAGTGAAACGAACACGGAACCAGGAATTTTAAAAATCGAGGTATTATTATTATATCTATAAGAAAAAGGGAAAACAAAAAATGAATACGTCCATTGAATCTTTCTGCTATTTAATTGTTAACATTTAATAATTTTTACATACAGACTCAACCTGTTGTGGAAAAAATCGTTACGACTAAAAGAATGCCGTCCAGAGTTCCTTGCGTTGCAGGAAGAGCTAGGAGCAAGGGACATTCTGAGAAACCAGAAAAAATGAAACCGATAGTACAACAATGTTTTGCTCAACTCGACAGTAAAGATTGGTAAACCATCGAAATAATCAAATGGAGATTTCGTACTTTACTTATACAATCAACCCAAAGGCCCCAGATTCCAGGCAACCCGCTTAGATCCACCATGCACAGACATTACGAACTACTTTATGTTTGGCAACGTACGAGCGGTTGCTGGGCATCAGAGGCTTTTGGACCAACTTTTTAAATTTTTATTCATTTCAACTATTTAATTTTTTTAATTTATTCTATAAATTTTCTGATACAGTAATAAAAATTTAAATAGATGCAATCGGAGCTGGTACAATGAGCCTCCTTATTGTAATTTCAGGGAAATTACCATGAAGGGCCTAAAAACATTGTCCCACATAGTCAAGCACCAACCGGAATACTTGGACATGTGCGCCGCGGCAACGATAAGCCGTCTTTTAGGTCGCCAAGTAAAAAGTCTCCGGTCACAGGTGGCACGGACCGCATGTTTGGCCGCAAGCGATATTTTCAGCTCGCAGATCCGTGGCATAGATCAGGTAAATTATCATACCAGTTTTTCTTTTGTAATTTATATGCAACCTAATGTCATTGTTCATTTTTTACATTCATTAATCACTTCATCTAATGAGAAGTTTTGCTTTTAACTTAAAAATAGGACTTCGATGACATAGCCGGACCACTGCTCCACAGAACAGCTGATACTAATAGGTTCCTTCGAGCAGACAGTAATGCAGCTTTAGATAAAATGGTGGAACATCTACCGCCTCATAAAACCATTGCTGTTATTGTACAGCGTGGTGCAAGGTGAATTATTTAATGCGTGAAATATTTCATGATTAAGACATTGGAAGATTTATTTGTATTGTTTATTCAGTCATCAGAATGCTATTGTTAGAGCTGCAACAGCTAGATTGTTGGCCTCTGTAGTGGATAGGATAGGACCAGAACATACTTTGATATTGCCCAGGGATGTGAAGGATAAGCTGCTTTCGACTGGCGCGAAGTTGTTGATGGATGGAAATTTAGATGCGAGGTAAAATATAAATTATAAATTATATATCTTATGTACATTATAAATTAAAACAATTATTATAGTGGATGGGGCATATAAAATCGATACCAAATGCTAAATACAATTTTGAAGTTATGTTTCATGTTTCTCGTTGGACACTATTCGATGCTGTCGCGCATGCGCATATAAGTTCAGTAAATCACCATACGAAATGTAATTCGTATGTACTACTGTGCGGGGCTGGAAAGAAGATTAGCGGGACAGCACACTGAAACTATTGGGATCGGTTTTATGTGCACCACGCGATATAACAATCCTTCAGAATTATGATCTATCAATGAATTGTTATTAAAAAAGTTACTGAACAACTTTATAACTTTATAGAAATCATGCAAAGAGAATGTTCAGACGTCTTACACACTGTGAAGGGTTTCGAAAGGCCCTGACAGATGCTGTGCCAGAGACAACATTGAGACACATTGACAAGACATTGAAGACCCTTTAATAAAAGGATTGATCTGTGGTTTTACAAGTCGCTCCGCTGTCTGGGCTTTGTTTATCCAACGAGATCGCTCTTCATAAAAGTGAAACTCAATTAGAGCCCAGTGGCGTGTGCAGAGACGATCTTCGTGCACCAAGAAAAATTATCAGATTTCACGTCGTAAAATATCAAAGAGAACGTTTTCACTTTTTCTCAAATTTTTCTCAATGCATGAACATGTGTTTTCTTCCGTGACGTTTAAGTAAAAACACGAGTTCAGCCGTAGAAAAGAAGAGAAAAGCATGATTGTTCCGTAAGTCGACTGATTTGAAACGTTTAAACATTTTGATACTCTAATGTACGTCCGTACATTTCTTTTTTATACCATTGTATAAGCAGCGTACTTAAAAACCAGAGAAACTTATTTATATAATGTGGATTTTTAGCATTTTATTATTTTCATAGTCGATGCTATTTTGTTAGAATAACTGTCTTTTTCTCTTTGATCATTTTGATGAAATTTTCAAGATTTTCTGGTGTCCGGGATTTGATAATAATTTTCCAGAAAATTTTGTTCATTAAATATAAATAACTGGGTGAATTTGAAATACACAAAATTCACATTATGTAAATAACTCATGCTCAACTATATAATATAAGCGTTACTCCGAAGAACAAAGAAATATAATGAAATTAAAATATTTACAGTAT